TTATTTTTCTGCAGTCAGCCCCTTTGAAGGTACCTTCTGCTGGGGTCGAAATAGTAGCCTGTGACACTGCCGTCGTTCCGATTGAAGCACACGTAGTAGAAGCCCGCTATGGTGAGCACACACCACAATCTGGTCGTCCGATTAAGTCACGGTGACACCCCTCTCTCCCCTCACCCCGCCCCCCCCCCCTCTCCTCACCCCTCCCTCCCATACTCACCTGCTGCTGGGGTCGTAGTAGTAGCCTGTGACACTCCCGTCCTCCCGATTGAAGCACACATAGTAGAAGCCTGCTATGGTGAGCCCACAGTCCGGCCCCACGTTCACAAAGAACTTCTCCTTCCACCGCTGCAGTGAGCACACATGAACCAGTGAAGTGGGAGGGGTGTGAAAGAGATGGAAGCATGTTAACAAAAGAACTTCTCCTTCCACCGCTGTGCATGGGAAGCAATGAAAGGGGAGGGGTGTGAAAGAGATGGAGCAACCTTCACACATCACTTCTCCTTCCACTGCTGGAGTGGGCACACAGGAAGGTGGAGGGAGACGTGAGGGCGGGGAGAGGGGGGCAGACGTGAGGGTGGGGAAGGGGCCGGAAGAGGTGAATTGGCAAGGAAGGGAAAGAGGTGGAACAACGTTTACAGATAACTTCTCCTTCCACTGCTGCAGTGAGCACAGGAAGGAAGCAGTAAAGAGGCAGGGGAAGTGAGAGCACATAAAGTGGGGAGGGAAAGTGGAAGCCTGCTATGGTGAGCCCACAGTCTGGGCCCCCGTTCACAAAGAGGTTGGGGGAAAGGGAAAGGAGGGAAATAACGACATTGAAGAGACGAGGAGGGCAGAATGAGGGCTGCCTGAATAGAGCAGAGGGACGGAACACTGTTCTTAGAAAGAGCATGGTGACAACGAGTCAGGGGAGGAATTGATTCAGATGACACATTGCGCAAGGTAGGTGATGAGAATCGGTTTCATGCTTACTATGAAGATGTAGGGGAATGTTGACAGAGCTGCATGGAATGAGACAAGCTTTCTCGTCAACTCAGAACATGACACAATGCCCAGCGTGATGAGATGAGGTTTCATGCTTACCATGAAGATGTAGGGAAATGTTGACAGATCTATGGATCGAGCTCCGTCCTCGAGTGCTGCTTCCTGAGACGTAAGAGCAACAGCAGTGCTATGAATGAAGCAGCAACAGTTAAGATGGAAGACGGCCGACTTCACAGATGCGAGGTGCTCAAATCAGGTGCTGTTTCGCCGACGGTGAAGCTAATTTATTGTGACAATAAAGTAAGGATGAAGGCAAAGAGGTAATAGCACACCTTCAGTTGCGCAAAGCACGGGAAGCGAGACCAGTGCTTGATATCAGTTTCACGACTGGCGGAAGGGAGTATGATATCAAGGGGAGGGGGGAGAGCGAATGCTATCGATGCTGGTCTACTACCACAAGACGAGTAGTCATGAGAACTAGTAGACGTAAAAGAACAGTGACATGGGAGAAAGAGAGGAGCGCAGTGAGAGTGGTGAGGGAGTCTGCTGGAAGAAAAACGGGAGTGTATTGGGGAACGTGGGCATAGAACGGAAGGGAATGTTTTGTGTTCTGTAGACATTAGAGCTCAAACACGTTCCCAAAGTCATGCTCTAATGTGTTTGGGCATGTCTCTGCTGAGCTCAAACACGTTCCTGTCCCGTCCACAGTCCCTCCGTCTCAACACGTGCCATCAGCATGTCAAGCATGTTCTGGCCTCACCATGAGCATCTTGAGACCAACCCAGCACCAACAGACAACATGTAGTTGACAGCACTCACGTGGCGTCCCACTGGCCGGTGAAGAAGGAGTAGTTCTTGCCGTCCACAATCTCCCCGTCCCAAAAGGTCACCACCTGCACCCAGAGAGTGGTAGGTGGTGGTGGCACTAGGTTTAGTGATTTCAAGGTGCGCCGGTAGGTGTACTACGTACAATATAGCACATCAATCCTTTGTCCCAAAAGCCAACAATCCCCTCTACCCCCCCTCTCTTTCCCTCCTTCCCACCCCATGGAGTTATGATTTTTTTTAACCCCTGATTGAAAGCACGAATTTGCTGCGACCCGCTTACTCATTTCGTCTCAAGCCATGTGACGTCCAGCTCACCGATGTGTCAGTAGAGGGAACGTTAAGAGCCTCCATAGACCCACACAGGTACCCTCTCCGCATATCGCACTGCTGGATGCGCACCGTCACCCGCCACGCCTCGTCCCGCTCCATGCCTGATAACGGCGGAGAAGAGTCTCCTGAGGAAGAAGAAGACGACACGTTCTGCGTTCCCACAAAAGCCTGTATTTGTGGTGGAACGGGGGAAAAGAGGACGCGAGGGTACGAAGAGTGAGGAATGCTGCGGTGGGAGGGATAATGTTGGAGTACGCTTACACAACACCATTTTTTCGAAATCAAGGCGGGTCATGGGGGCTGGAGTGCTGGTAGTCAGAGAAGTGGCAAGACAGTCTCGAAAAGCGGGTAGAACACGACACTACATTAGTCGCGGGTAGCTTCCGGGAGCTGAAAGCTGAACGAAATACGACGCACCTGCCCTGGTTCTAGGAATGAACAAGTTGAACTAAATGGAGAATCCTCGTCGTCCACACCCTCGTACTGTTCTTCCCAAGCCTCTATATCCTCATCCTCTAATTCCCTCGCTTTCATTGTCGCTGGACACGAGTTCGGGTCGCACGCAGGTGCCTGTGACTGTTCCTCCGAGTCCCGTGGAACGCGCGAGGGACTACCCATGTCTTCGCCAAATGCCATGGAGCACAAAACATTTATGAATTTAATACATTTGTAATAGAAAACGCCACCTAGACGTTTGGCGCAAAAGCTTTTGTTCCACTGTGGTTCTGTTTCACATCCGCTCTTCTGTATGTATTGATAATACGCAAAACGTGTATTGAGTGGGAGTACAGATGCTACACACACTTCATCACCTTATTCACAGGGAAACACCAACTACAAAACCGTTCTACTGGATGCTTGATATTTTTACTGTGCTCGAGTTCTTCTCGCAAAGAATCACAGACGGTCTATTGTAATCCCGTTGGTGGGCCTGTGAAGCTTAAAAAATTCCTGTGACTCTGCAAGGCACAAAGCCAGATTTAGGTGTTTTGAAGAAAGGCACGCACAGTTTACCTCTTGCGAGCCTCCAGCTGCCTAACATTTCAACAATTCTCTCCAGGATGGCTTCCCTTAGGAAGCAAATTAACAACCCTGTATGGTCTAACCTGAAACCTTGAGCACAGCTGCAGCATCAGTCGATGAAAGCCTTTTGCTGCAATATCCCTCCCATGGTTCGGATGTCCCCTGGCTCTCCGCAGTAGCATCTTCCATAGCAACATATAGTGAATGAAGGTATACTGCAAGCTTACGAGCTGCTTCCCGTCCCTCTGGGACTTGGTCCTTCATCTGAGTTGCAGCTATCTTTAGAAGCACATCCAGCCCAATAAGCTTGACCTGATCCGTGTTCTGTAACACACGGACAACAAGATGTAAGTTGACTCAAACAGGTACGAACAAAACGGAGAGCAGGTATGGAACACAGCCACTGTCTCACCAGTCGAACTGCCGCCTGGTAGGCGTAAATCATTGCCTTTGACCGGACTCTCGGGCTCTTATGCGCGATGCACGTTTGAAGCGCTTTCAGGGTGACTTCAGGATTAAGAGTCGAAGCCATCGTGGAAAGTGCACGGTCAACGGCTTCAACCATGAACTTATTATCTTGTGAAGCTTGGATAAGCAAAGGTTGCATCTGCAGAGCAAACAACGATTGACATCAAAGCCCTGATGGACTTATAAAAAAAACAACAGTGATTACCCAGAAAATAACGTACCAAGGATTCAAGCGACCCTTCCATGCACGTCGTGTTAAACCTAAACAGGTCCTCCAAGGTCATCCATAGCGTCTTTCTGAGAACGCTCCTGGGGTTCTTCAGGGACTTCAGCATCGGATCAAAATAGGATTCGCTGCAATCGCGAACACATGTCAAATGGGTTAGAACGTCCGCGACGAGCTCCAGGCACGTTCGAGAAAAAAAGAGGAAATAAAAAAGGTTCACGGTTGTTCAGCAACATACAGTCTTCCGGTCAGGTGTTCGCTGTTGAACTTCGCAACCCTCCGGAGTTCAATAAGCCCCTCGCAAACCACGAACCAGTCTTTCGATTCAAGCTTCGCCCCAATACCCTGCACGCGTGAATAACATCACCAGTGAATAGGATATTCGCCATTTGAAACTAGCTCCAATGCTGGCAGTGCGCTAGCTAACTTACGGCAAGGACGCTCTCCAAATCTTCAACGGGCTGAAGTTCCTCAGTTGGAACATACTGAACCTCGACGGTTGCAACACACTCTTCAGCCATAGCTCTAGGTGAAGGTAAAAGAACGGGATCCTTCGCGGTGTTAGGGCGAGTAGATACTTGACCTGAAGGAGAAAGAGAACGGGATTTCACGGTGGCTGATCGTGTATGATGCAGAAAACTGTAGTGGGTTTGTTGCTGCTGGCTGAAATCTTTTGTTCCCTGAATCACATGCATCCGTCACTTGGATGGATGACCAGACGATGACCCCCCTGACACACTAGTTCCGCTTTGAGTAGTCCGCTCTACATCGTTCATCAACCATGCTGCTGATGCGGCACGAATCACCGTTCGATTGGCAGGCGGCTCGACTCTCTGACACACCTATGTCGCTGTCAGGTTCCATACAACCAATGGGACTCATCAGATTATTACTCGGATTCTTGTAAACAGTACTTTCATTTTATATCGAGTGAATTATGAAATCAAGTGCTTGCTGCTAGTGCTTCTCTTGCAGCATTAAATCACAAGCCTGAATGTTCTTCAGTTTCTCGCTATTTTACCAATTGCTACCAAGAATGGTCATCCTTTGCCACTATAAATTTTCATGAAACAATAGACATTCAATTTGAATAGACTTGCCCATCACTTCACATAACCATGCAGCGCTGCACCACCCTCACCATTCAACCATCTGCATTTACAGCTGCAACCGCCGGCTCACTCGATACTAGTGCATCACCATCAATGTCACCATTCACCACACCACCAGGCCGACTCGGCATGGTTCCATTTGCCGTCTGTTTCTTCCGGCGCTGCACTTCCAGGAAAATGAGCAGAGCTGTGATGTCAGCAGGGTTGACCCCACCCAGTCTAGACGCCTGCCCAATGGTGGCTGGGCGAATCTGCAGCAAGTCAGCAGGTGGGAGTCAACATATGACGGGGCATAGGCGAACACGAGCACATGGGTTTGACACATGTGTACACATGCCAGGATAAAGCATCATGCAATACAGTGCACGTGTATGCACGGGTGACATCACCACAATAAGCGCTGCTTACATCATCAAAATACGCACAGGAGAAACCAAGGAAGAAGAAGATGAAATAGAGGAGGTGCAAGCATGTACCTGGGAGAGCTTTCGCGGGCCACCTTGGATATGGTGGCAATGGAGTCTTAGTCAACGTTTGAGTCGACTCAAAAGATAGAAGTTACAAGTATGTACCTTGGAGAGCTTCTCGCGGGCCTCCTTGGAAACGGTGGCAATGGAGTCGTAGTCAATGTCCTCGGGAATGCGGCGGTGCTCCTTGGCTACCACCTGCTCCAGCTGCTGCTTCTGCCTCTGGATGAACCCCTCATACTTCAACTCCACCTCCACACACTCCGCCTCCCACGCTGACACCACCGCCCCTCCCTCCCCCCACTCCCCCACCGGCCCCGAACCACCTTCCGAACCACTTTCCAAACAACTATCCGAACCACTTTCCGAACCAGAGGAGGAGGAGAGCGGGGTAGGGGCGCCCATGAGGTTGAGGTCTTGGAAGAGGCGGTAGGTGACGTGTGGGCGGCGGAGGATTTGATCCAGTGTTGTGCCGTGCCGCACTGCGCCTGACAGTTCCTCTATTGCTGGGATGGCTGGGTGCGAGGCTGGGTGGGGAGGGGAATGCATGGGGAAAACAATGTATGAAGAACAAGCACATGAGGATATGGAAGGGCGCCCATGAGGCTGAGGTCTCTGAAGAGGCGGTAGGTGACGTGCGGGCGGCGGAGAATCTGATCCAGCATTGTGCCGTGCCGCACTGCGCCTGACAGCTGCTCTATTGCTGGGATGGCTGGGTGTGAGGCTGGGAGGGTTGGGGGATGCATGGGGAAACAACGCACAGGGATGCATTTCTAGCCGACGCAAAACCCAGCTGCGTTAACAAGTAAAGGTACTTTGAGAAAAAGTACTCCAGCACTCGCCAGCTTGTACATATATTTATATATATATATAACGAGACGCATCAGAGCCCTTCCTACCTCTTAACCCCCTTGCCAGCATGTATTGCTTGAGCCTCTCTTTCTCAGCGTCCATCCTCGCCCGCCTCGCCACAACAGGCCAAAGCACCCCATGCATTTCTGATCTCATACACGTGCGATTTCTGATCTAAAGTCCCCACGCCCCAACCCTACCTGCCAGCTTGTATCGTTTGAGCCTCTCTTTCTCAGCATCCATCCTCGCCTGCCTTGCAAGATACATGCCCCACCGGCGATCATCAATCAGCCCTATCTCGCGCCCCATGGGTGTCAGCCGCACGTCGGCATTGTCTGACCGCAGCAGCAGCCGGAACTCTGAACGGCTGGAGGGGAGGGGAGGAGAGGAAGGGGAGAACTAAGCCCACCATTAATCAGCAAACAGTCAATGAGCCCTATCTCCCGCTCCATGGGTGTGAGCCGCACGTCTGCATTGTCTGACCGCAGCAGCAGCCGGAACTCTGACCGGCTGCAGGGGAGGGGAGGAGAGGAAGGGGAGAACTAAGCCCACCATTAATCAGCAAACAGTCAATGAGCCCTATCTCCCGCCCCATAGTGAGCCGCGTGTCGGCATTGTCTGACCGCAGCAGCAGCAGCCGGAACTCTGATCGGCTGGAGGGGAAGCAAGAGGTAGTGGGGGGGGGGATGGGGCAAGGGAGAAGAGAGATGTTTGACTCAAGCATGCCCCACCGGCGGTCATTAATGAGCCCTATCTCGCGCCCCATGGGTGTGAGCCGCACGTCTGCATTGTCTGACCGCAGCAGCAGCCGGAACTCTGAGCGGCTGAAGAGGAGGGCAAAACAAAAGGTGGGGTGGGGGATAAAGTTGGCGAATGGGGCAAGGGAGTCAAGAGGCGAGTTGAGTCAAACATGCCTCACTGGTGTAAGCCTCAAGAGGCATGTTTGACTCAACTCGCAAGGGAGGCATGTTTGACTCAACTCGCAAGGGAGGCATGGTTGACTCAACTCGCAAGGGAGTCTATGAGTCAATGAGCCCTGTGTCTGGTCCCATGGGTGTAAGCCGTACATCGGAATTGTCGGACTGCCGCAACAACCGGATTTCGATTTCTGAACGGATGGAAGGGGGGGCACGGAATGGGGAGGAGAGGAGGAGGCATGGGGAAGAATGTGATTTGATTCCCCGGGTTGTCAATCGACTTGACCTCCCACCCATGGGTGTGAGCACATAGGGGAAAACGAAGGGCAAGATGAAGTGGGAAAAGATGAGTTCATTCCCCAGCACTGGCACCGGCACCACTACATGCCACCCCAGAGCTTCTTCAGTTGCAGTGCTGCCTCGTCCGACCGATGGCAGCAGCAGCTGGATGGACACCTTAGCGGCAATAGCGGAGGGCATGGAATGAGTGAGAGGACAAATTACACGACACAAACCAAACCGCTGTGCAGCATGAGCAAGCACTCAACGATCACCAATCCTTGACGACGATCGTTGGACGGAGGAGCAGCCCACGGAGGGTCCATTCTGCTGGTCAATGTCAATCCAGTCATGTGATTCCGCGTCTCTAATGTGGTCAAACCAGCCAACCCCGAGTGATTCGATCAGCTCATCATCCTTGGTCCAACCAGCTCTCCAACCAAAGAGGTGAGTTGCCCCTTCCTCCCCTAGACTCCTACCTACTGTCCTACATATTCAGCATGTTGGTTGGGAACCTACTGTCCTACATATTCAGCATGTATAGATAGGACTTACGCCTACCTTGTGAGCATGCGGTACGGCTCCCTCAGATCCTTGGTCACCAGGTCGTCAATTAGAGTGCCGATGTAGCTGCTCTCCCTCTCCAGCGCGATCAACAGTTTCCCATCCGCCAGCCTAGCCGCGTTCATCCCTGCGATCAGCCCCTGCAGTGAGAGAGGTCGTATAACGGGAAAGAAATAAAAACGAAGAGCATTGAATCTCATCTCAACGCGCGTTGTTCAAGGGCCAGAAATGTGCAGGGCTGACTCATGCGCATGACAGATACTTGAACACACACAGAGCAAGGGGCATCGATCCAATCCACTCCACACCACCACCCATTCACATCTTTGTACGCACTGCAAGCAGTAGCCTCCTTCTATCTCGTTGTGCCGTTGATCTGCCCGCTGAAAAAACAGCCCCTCGATCCGCTCGGTCACGAGCGTGCGTTGGCACTGGTATGCCGGCCGGCAGGTAGTCATGCTCCACTGCATAAGCGGGCTGTGTAAGGAAGACAGGCAGCATAAGTCCCCACCTGCGCAGCAGCCTCTTCATAGCCCCCCGTGGTGCCGTTGATCTGACCGCTGAAGAACAAGCCCCTCAACCCGCCTGGTGGTCATGAGCGTGCGCACATGGGGGCTCGAACAGTATCAGCACAGGAATCCGACCCACCTGCGCAGCAGCCTCTTCATAGCCCCCCGTGGTGCCGTTGATCTGCCCGCTGAAGAACAAGCCCCTCAACCCGCCTGGTGGTCATGAGCGTGCGCACATGGGGGCTCGAACAGTATCAGCACAGGAATCCGACCCACCTGCGCAGCAGCCTCTTCATAGCCCCCCGTGGTGCCGTTGATCTGCCCGCTGAAGAACAAGCCCCTCAACCCGCCTGGTGGTCAAGAGCGTGCGCACATGGGGGCTCGAACAGTATCAGCACAGGAATCCGACCCACCTGCGCAGCAGCCTCTTCATAGCCCCCCGTGGTGCCGTCGATCTGCCCGCTGAAGAACAAGCCCCTCAACCCGCCTGGTGGTCATGAGCGTGCGCACATGGGGGCTCGAATAGTATCAGCACAGGAATCCGACCCACCTGCGCAGCAGCCTCTTCATAGCCCCCCGTGGTGCCGTCGATCTGCCCGCTGAAGAACAAGCCCCTCAACCCGCCTGGTGGTCAAGAGCGTGCGCACATGGGGGCTCGAACAGTATCAGCACAGGAATCCGACCCACCTGCGCAGCAGCCTCTTCATAGCCCCCTGTGGTGCCGTCGATCTGCCCGCTGAAGAACAAGCCCCTCAACCCGCCTGGTGGTCATGAGCGTGCGCACATGGGGGCTCGAATAGTATCAGCACAGGAATCCGACCCACCTGCGCAGCAGCCTCTTCATAGCCCCCCGTGGTGCCGTTGATCTGCCCGCTGAAGAACAAGCCCCTCAACCCGCCTGGTGGTCAAGAGCGTGCGCACATGGGGGCTCGAACAGTATCAGCACAGGAATCCGACCCACCTGCGCAGCAGCCTCTTCATAGCCCCCCGTGGTGCCGTCGATCTGCCCGCTGAAGAACAAGCCCCTCAACCCGCCTGGTGGTCATGAGCGTGCGCACATGGGGGCTCGAATAGTATCAGCACAGGAATCCGACCCACCTGCGCAGCAGCCTCTTCATAGCCCCCCGTGGTGCCGTCGATCTGCCCGCTGAAGAACAAGCCCCTCAACCCGCCTGGTGGTCAAGAGCGTGCGCACATGGGGGCTCGAACAGTATCAGCACAGGAATCCGACCCACCTGCGCAGCAGCCTCTTCATAGCCCCCTGTGGTGCCGTCGATCTGCCCGCTGAAGAACAAGCCCCTCAACCCGCCTGGTGGTCATGAGCGTGCGCACATGGGGGCTCGAATAGTATCAGCACAGGAATCCGACCCACCTGCGCAGCAGCCTCTTCATAGCCCCCCGTGGTGCCGTCGATCTGCCCGCTGAAGAACAAGCCCCTCAACCCGCCTGGTGGTCAAGAGCGTGCGCACATGGGGGCTCGAACAGTATCAGCACAGGAATCCGACCCACCTGCGCAGCAGCCTCTTCATAGCCCCCTGTGGTGCCGTCGATCTGCCCGCTGAAGAACAAGCCCCTCAACCCGCCTGGTGGTCATGAGCGTGCGCACATGGGGGCTCGAACAGTATCGCCGTTGATCTGCCCGCTGAAGAACAAGCCCCTCGATTTTCTTCGTCATGAGCGTGCGCTGGCACTAGTAGGCTGGCTGGCAGGTAGTCGTGTTTTGAGACGTCTCAAAACACTTCTTCATACAGGTAGTCATGCTCCACTGCACAGGCAGGCCTCAGCATGGTTGCTTACCTGAGCAGCGGCCTCCTCGTATCCAGTCGTGCCGTTGATCTGCCCGCTAAAAAACAGCCCCTCAATTTTCTTTGTCATGAGTGTGCGCTGGCACTGGTACGCCGGCAGGTAGTCATATTCCACTGCGTATGCGGGTCTCAACATTGAACAGCGCTCCAAGCCGGGGAGAGAGCGAAGCAGGGCCAGCTGCAGGCGTTCTGGTAGGCCCGTGGAGAATCCCTGGGGTGAATAGGGATGGAGAGTGGTGTAGATGGGTAAACGAGAACGAGTAACGGCACTGATACGCCAACAGGTAGTCGAATTCCACAGTGTATGCGGGTCTCAACATTGAACAGCGCTCCAAGCCGGGGAGAGAGCGCAGCAGGGCTCTCCGTTGAAGACGTTCGGGCAGGTCGGAGTGGAATCCCTGGAGGGTGATGGGGTGCAGAGGGGTGAAGCGGGGTAGATGAGATGAGAGTGAGAAACGGAACTGATATGCCCGCAAGCAGTCATACTCCACTGCGTATGCAGGCCGTAGCATGGCACAGCGCTTCAAGCCAGCTATGTGAATTTTACTTGTGAGAATTCTCAAAAAGTAAAATTCACATACTCCACTGCGTATGCAGGGCAGGCCGTAGCATGGCACAGTGCTTCAAGCCATGGAGGGAGCGTATTTTGAGACGTCTCAAAAACACCCTCGCTACACGTCGCAAGCAGTCATACTCCACTGCGTATGCAGGGCAGGCCGTAGCATGGCACAGTGCTTCAAGCCATGGAGGGAGCGTATTTTGAGACGCCTCAAAAACACCCTCGCTACACGTCGCAAGCAGTCATACTCCACTGCGTATGCAGGCCGTAACATGGCACAGCGCTCCAAGCCATGGAGGGAGCGTAGCATGGCTAACTGCAAACGTTTGAGTAGGCCTGTGGAGAATCCCTGGAGAATGGCGGTTCCAGAGGGGTGTAAAGGGGTGAAGAGGGGTAAAGGGCTCGAGAAGCACTGGTAAGCCGGCAGGTAGTCATACTCACGGCATAGGCGGGTCTCAGCATGGCACAGCGCCAACAGCACTCACTCCACTTAGGGATGAGCAAGTGGCGAACACGAACGTGTTCGTGTTCGCCCCTACACGAACACCTTCGTTTGCCGAACCGAACACTGTTCGGTTCGGCGAACACTTTGAGCAAAAAATGGTGTTCGCCGTTCGCCTGTGAAGGCGTGTTCGGGCGAACCTCGAACACTGTTCGTGTTCGTCGCGGGCAAATTGCAGCAGCGGCCCGAACACGAACGTGTTCGGGCGAACATCGAACACTGTTCGGCGAACATTTTAAGCCAAAAAAAAATACCTGTTCGGTTCGCCTCGAACGTGTTCGAGGCGAACCGAACAGGTGTTCGTTTTTTTGCTCAACCCTAACTCCACTACCCACCCACCCACCTACCCACCCACCAACCCCACACACCCACACCCACGCCCACCTGCACGTAGAGCATATCTTAGGCACCTCAAAAACCACCCGCACTGAAACTCACACCCAACCACCCCAACCCACACACACCTGCATGTAGAGCTCTGGCACGGTTCGGCCCTCGGGGGCTCTAGCCGACACCACCTCCATCACCCACCCCCACCTCCTCGGACACTCACCTCCATCCGCCACTTCCACCCACCCCAACCCACACACACCTGCACGTAGAGCTCTGGCACGGTTCGGCCTTCAGGCTCGAGGAAGATCTGGTGCGACTCCTTGTCCTTGAATCGCACTATCTGTGTGTGCAATCAAAGGGAGGGAAGAGGGCAGAAGGGGGGGGGCACATACGGGGCAGAAAGGGGCAGCAGCGGGCAGAGGAGGGAGTCGACTTATGCGGCGAGGCGAACCAGACACCAGCCTCGAGGAACATCAGGTGTGACTCTCAAGGAATCGCACAGATACGTCCTTGAATCGCAATATCTGTGGAGACGACATACCAAGGCAACAGCACGGGGACAACAGCAGGCGGTAGAAGGGGTCAGATAAGGCGGCTTATGAGGTGACTTTTGAGTCGACTCAAAAGTCAACAGGCGGTAGAAGGGGTCAGAAAAGGAGACTTATGAGGCAATTCTGAGATTAGGCTCGATGAAGATCTGATGCACACAGCACACACCCCCTACCTCCCGTTCCCCCCTCCCACCTTGTCCTCTATGCTGGGGCAGTGGCGCGGTCCTCTACCGTCCACCCAGCCGCCATAAGTGGGCGTCTCATGCAGGCTCGCCTGCACCAGCCGATGGGTCTCCTTGGTCGTGCGAGTCAACCAGCAGCTCATCTGCTCCCTCCGTCTCCACACGCTCTCATCACAGCTAAACCACTCGCACACATGCCGCACGCGCGCACGCACACGCACACACACGCACACGCACACGCACACACACACACGCGCACGCGCACACACACAAGGCCTCACCTTGTCTTCGATACTCGGGCAGTAGCGGGGCCCACGCCCGTCCACCCAGCCGCCATAAGTGGGCGTCTCATGCAAACTCGCTTCCACCAGCCTATGCGTCTCCGCCGTTGTGCGAGTCAACCAGCAGCTCATCTGCTCCCTCCGCCTCCACACGCTCTCATCAAAGCTGAACCACCGCTCCCCCACGCCGTCGGCTTCAGGGTCGTCCCCTGGCTGCTCCTCCAGCCGGGAGAAATCGACGGTCCGGATGTCGATCCGCGGCGGCGTGCCGGTTTTTAGACGGTCGGATTCAAAGCCGAGGGAGAGGAGGTACTCTGTGAGGCCATGGGAGGCACCCTCGCCTGCCCTGCCTGCTGGGAGGGACTGTCTTCCCACCCAGATGCGACCATTCATGAATGTACCTGAAGGATAGAGAAGAGATAAGAAGGAAGCAAATCAAAGCCGAGGGAGAGGAGGTACTCGGTGAGCCCATGGGAGGCGCCCTCGCCTGCCCGGCCTGCTGGGAGGGACTGTCTTCCCACCCAGATGCGACCATTCATGAATGTACCTGGGGAAAGATGGACAGGGAGGGAAGAGGAGGGAGCAGATGATTTCTTGAAACATAGCTGGATAAAGGTTGACTCAAAAAGTGTCGTGTGCCAATGTAACGAGGTGACTTTTGAGTCGAGTCAAAAGTCTGACTGCTAGGAGAGCTGCTTCTTGAGTTCTCTTAAGAAACAGCTACAATGTGCTCCCAAGCACCACAGGGCGTTATTGAGAATCCTCGATGTTGCAGGGTGTTTTTGAAAATTCTCGGTGTTACAGGGTGTTTTTGAGAATTTTCGATGTTACAGGGTGTATTTGAGAATTCTCTAAAAAATACCCTGAGACATCTAGGAGAGCTGCTTCTTGAGATCTCTTAAGAAACGGCTACAATCTGCTCCCAAGCACCACAGGGCGTTATTGAGAATCCTCGATGTTGCAGGGTGTTTTTGAAAATTCTCGGTGTTACAGGGTGTTTTTGAGAATTTTCGATGTTACAGGGTGTATTTGAGAATTCTCTAAAAAATACCCTGAGACATCTAGGAGAGCTGCTTCTTGAGATCTCTTAAGAAACGGCTACAATCTGCTCCCAAGCACCACAGGGCGTTATTGAGAATCCTCGATGTTGCAGGGTGTTTTTGAAAATTCTCGGTGTTACAGGGTGTTTTTGAGAATTTTCGATGTTACAGGGTGTATTTGAGAATTCTCTAAAAAATACCCTGAGACATCTCGGAGAGCTGCTTCTTGAGATCTCTTAAGAAACGGCTACAATCTGCTCCCAAGCACCACAGGGCGTTATTGAGAATCCTCGATGTTGCAGGGTGTTTTTGAAAATTCTCGGCTCGGTGTTACAGGGTGTTTTTGAGAATTTTCAATGTTACAGGGTGTATTTGAGAATTCTCTAAAAAATACCCTGAGACATCTACGAGAGCTGCTTCTTGAGATCTCTTAAGAAACGGCTACAATCTGCTCCCAATCACCACACCAATCTGCTCCCAATCACCACACCAATCTGCTCCCAATCACCACACCAATCTGCTCCCAATCACCACACCAATCTGCTCCCAATCACCACACCAATCTGCTCCCAATCACCACACCAATCTGCTCCCAATCACCACACCAATCTGCTCCCAATCACCACACCAATCTGCTCCCAATCACCACACCAATCTGCTCCCAATCACCACACCAAACTGCTTTGAAACCTGCGTGGTTCCTGTGTGGGAGACTTCTGAGACGTCTGAAACGTCTGCTCCCGTCCCAAACCAAGCACAAACCTACCCTGAAACCTGCGTGGGAGAAGCACTCACAAGTCTACGACCACCCCAACCAGTTTTGAGGCGCCTCAAAACCAAACCAAGCACAACCCTACTCTGAAACCTGCGTGGGTCCGTGGGAGAAGCACTTTCAAGTGCTTGCAAGTCTAAGACCACATTATCGTACCTGTGGTGAGCACGACTGCTTTGGCCAGGAAGTCAACCCCAAAGAACGTCCGCACGCCCTGCACGTCGTCGTTGGGCCCCACTATGAGCTCCGTCGCCATCGCCTCTCGGATAAACAGATTAGGCGTGCTGGGGGAGGGGAGGAGAGGGCAGACAGGGGCAGGAAGACAGACATCCAATCAGGAAAGAAGAGGTTGTTGATTTGGATCCGCACACGCACGCCCTGCACGCTGTCGTTGGGCCCCACTATCAGCTCCGTCGCCATTGCCTCTCGAATGAACAGATTGGGCGTGCTGAGGGGAACGACATGTGGAGAACGTAACACGGGTGGACAGGGGAAAGGGGAAGAAGACAGGAAAGGATGATTGGGGAGAACACACACGCCCTGCACGTCGTCGTTGGGGCCCACGCCCACCCCACTATCAGCTCTGTCGCCATGGCCTCTCGGATGAACAGATTGGGCGTGCTGAGGAGAGGAATGGGGGGGGAAGGGAGAGGGGGTTGGGCAGACAGTCCGTCAGAAAGCAGGGACAGACAGGCAGGAAAGCAGGGACAGACAGGCAGGAAAGCAGGGACAGACAGGCAGGAAAGCAGGGACAGACAGGCAGGAAAGCAGGGACAGACAGGCAGGAAAGCAGGGACAGACAGGCAGGAAAGCAGGGACAGACAGGCAGGAAAGCAGGGACAGGCAGGCAGGAAAGCAGGGACAGACAGGCAGGAAAGCAGGGACAGACAGGCAGGAAAGCAGGGACAGACAGGCAGGAAAGCAGGGACAGACAGGCAGGAAAGCAGGGACAGACAGGCAGGAAAGCAGGGACAGGCAGGCAGGAAAGAAGCAGTGGTAACTTAAGAGCTGTACGCCCTGCACGTCGTTATTGTTGGGGCCCACTATGAGCTCCGTTGCCATGGCTTCTCGGATAAACAGGTTGGGGGTGCTTGGGGGAGGGTGTTTAGGGGAGGGGCAAACAGTCGAGAAAAACGAGGCGATTACTTGAGATGCGCACGCTCTGCTGCACGTTGTTGTTGTTGGGCCCCACTATCAGCTCTGTCGCCATTGCCTCTCGGATGAACAGGTTGGGCGCGCTGGGGAGAGGAAGGGGGGGGAAGGGAGAGGGGGTTGGGCAGACAGTTGAGAAAAACGAGGCGATTACTTGAGAGATGCGCATGCTCTGCTGCACGTTGTTGTTGTTGTTGGGGCCCACTACTATGAGCTCCGTTGCCATGGCCTCTCGGATAAACAGGTTGGGGGTGCGTGCTGGACATTCTCGAATGAAGAAAGGGAAAGCAGGGACAGGACAGACAGTCAGGAAAGAAAGCAATGGTTACATAAGAACCTCATGCCCTGCACTGCACGTCGTTGATTCTTTCCTGCATGACGCCCCACTATCTTCTCCGTTGCCTTGGCCTCTCAAGTGAAAAGTTTGGGCCATAGGTGACGCTGAAGAAAGGGAAAACAGGGACAGGACAGGACAGTCAGGAAAGAAGAGGGTGGTGGATGATTGGAGTCCTCACTGCACGGCAGCCAGTGGGGGCCGGAGGCAAGTAACCAGTCCCGTCAGGAAAGCATCGGCGGTTGACAGAAATCTGCATACACTTTGGCTATGAGCAGCCCCACCCTTCCCAGCAATCACTTCTCCTCTGCCTCCCCACATTGCGCACCTCCTCTGCCTCCCCACATTGCGCACCTCCTCTGCCTCCCCACATTGCGCACCTCCTCTGCCTCCCCACATTGCGCACCTCCTCTGCCTCCCCACATTGCGCACCTCCTCTGCCTCCCCACATTGCGCACCTCCTCTGCCTCCCCACATTGCGCACCTCCTCTGCCTCCCCACATTGCGCACCTCCTCTGCCTCCCCACATTGCGCACCTCCTCTGCCTCCCCACATTGCGCACCTCCTCTGCCTCCCCACATTGCGCACCTCCTCTGCTTGCAACCTCTTGGCCCCCTTGCCCCTCTTGTTCTCTCATCATTCCTACCAGCCTTCCATAAGAAATCAACTCACTTCTCCACCACCTTGCGCATCTCCTCGCTGCACTTCCGCTTGACCGTCTGTGCTCTGAACGTCCACACACACCACTGGTTGGGCCTTGCCAAACCCTATCACTTACCATCATACCCTATACCTACATACCGCATCCCACCCCTTTCACCCCCCCCCCCACTCACTTCTCCACCACCTTCCGCATCTCTTCACTGTACTCCCGCTTGTCCGCCTGCGCCCTTAAAGCCCACACCGCCGGTTGAACCTTGCCAAACCCTCACAACACCTGCATACCGCATCCCACCTCTTTCAACTCCACTCACTTCTCCACCACCTTCCTCATCTCCTCGCTGTACTCCCGCTTGTCCGTCTGCGCCCTTAAAGCCCACACCGCCGGCCCCCGTGACCGGTTGAGCACTCGCTTCTGCACGTAGCACCTGAGGGGTAGAAGAGGGGTGGAGAGGGGTGGGGAAAGGAGCGGAAAGAATGGGGTTTCGCCCTTAAAGCCCACCCTATTGGCCAGCACAACCGGTTCAGCACTCGCTTCTGCATGTAACACCTGAGAGGTAGAAGAGGGGTGGGGAGGGGTGGAGAGGAGTGAGGAGGGTGGGGAAAGGTGCAGGAAGAATGGGGGTGCGCCCTTAAAGCCCACACCGCTGGCCCCCGCGACCGGTTGAGCACACGCTTCTGCACGTAGCACCTGGGGGGCAGAAGAGGGGTGGGGAGGGGTGGGGAGGGTTGGGATAACGTGGGGGAAGAACTGGGGGCGCGGAGTAGAGGTTTATTGATTATGCTGGCAGTTGTAACTGGTGAAGTCATTCACCATTCCGCACATGCACAGATGAGCAGCATAGCAGTCGCTCGCAAGCATAACATAGCGTCGGCATGGCATGGCATGAGCAAGCAACGAGCCGAACACTCCTTACCTTGTTGTAATGTAACTTGCCTTGTATGAGTAATGCGCCGGGGTCGAGTAATGCTCTTCAGGCGAGCCATTTTAGCACCCAACAGAGACGAAAACTCGCCCAGAAAAACCAACTACTCGCCCAGAAAAACAGTTACTCGCCCAAAGAAACAAATACTCGCCCACAGAAACGAATATTCGCCCAATGAAACGATTATTTGCCCAATGAAACGAATATTCGCCCAATGAAACGAATACTCGCCCACAGAAACGAATACTCGCCCACAGAAACGAATACTCGCCCACAGAAACGAATACTCGCCCACAGAAACGAATACTCGCCCACAGAAACGAATACTCGCCCACAGAAACGAATACTCGCCCACAGAAACGAATACTCGCCCACAGAAACGAATACTCGCCCACAGAAACGAATACTCGCCCACAGAAACGAATACTCGCCCACAGAAACGAATTCTCGCCCACAGAAACGAATACTCGCCCACAGAAACGAATCCTCGCCCACAGAAACGAATACTCAATGGTTAACTACCCACCAGTCACCCCACCCTCGACTTCCTACCTACCCACCAATCAACCCCACCCTGCCTGTTCACCTGTCCGTCATCCTCCCAATCTGCCCGCCCAGAGCATCTGTCTCATGCACTAGCTGTGACTTGGCCAAACCTTCAGAGGCGCATTGAGCGCCAAATCGCATCATTCCCATCATCAATCAACCCCACCCTGCCTGTTCACCTGTCCGTCATCCTCCCAATCTGCCCGCCCAGAGCATCTGTCTCATGCACTAGCTGTGACTTGGCCAAACCTTCAGAGGCGCATTGAGCGCCAAATCGCATCATTCCCATCATCAATCAACCCCACCCTGCCTGTTCACCTGTCCGTCATCGGTCATCCTCCCAATCTGCCCGCTCAGGGCATCTGTCTCATGCACTAGCTGTGGTGACTTGGCCAAACCTTCAGAGGCGCATTGAGCGCCAAACGCCAATCATACCCCCCAATCATACCCACCCACCCACCAATCAACCCCACCCTGCCCTGTAGGTCAGCTCACCTGTCCGTCATCCTGCCAATCTCCCCTCCCAGGGCGTCTGTCTCATGCACCAACTGTGACTTGGCCGGACCCCCCACTGCTGGGTTGCACGGCTGCAGAAGGGGAGGGAGGGAAGGAGAAACGGGGGGAAAAAGCGGGGAAAGGGGACGAGGGGGGGGAACCAGAGCGTTTGCCTCACGCACCGATTGTGACTTGGCCGTCCGTATCCCCCGGTTGCAAGGCTGGCAGAGGATGGCGGTAAAAGGGGGAGGCGGAAGAGTGTGGAGGATGGGAATGGCTTTTGAGTCGACTCAAAAGTCAGCTCAAGGCTGGCAGAGGATGGTGGAAAAGGGGGGAGCGGGTCGAGTAGAGGATGGTGGTAAAAAGGGGAGGCGGAAGAGTGTGGAGGAACGGAGGGAAGGGAACCAAACCAAGAACCCTAGCCTTTGGACTGCAATGGCTGAGCCCTCAACATAAACCCTTCGACCCTAAGGGCTGAGCCATCAAACCCTGGAACCCAAGGTTCAAGACCAGAGTAGAGTACCTACCCTACCACCTGCCATGCGGGTTTTGCCTAGTGACAGGTGTTGGCAGAATTGTTTCCGAATTTCGCCCCCCCCTGCGGATTAACCCTTAAACCTCGAGCCCGAACCCTGAGTCCATCCTAACCCTAGGACCCCGAGAACCAACCAACCCAGGCCAGACCAGAATAACATCTGCCATGCGACTTTTCTTTACCTCGCGGCAGTGTTGACTGGCAGCAGTGCGTTTCCATGCTTGTCCGCACAACACCACATCTTGGTTCCCAGCCTGGTCCATTCCATAACCACAAGGTAAGCAAGCAACCCCTGACTTCAACTCAGAACCCTTGGCTTGACCACCCACCCACTGGGATGGGACCCACCTGCCATGCGATCTTGTCGAGGGACAGGGTGAGCAGCAGTGTCCTGGCGCCCAGCCTGGCGGACGCCAGTGCTGCCTCGCACCCCTGACTTACCTTGTATCAAGCAGCTCAGAACCCCTCATTCGACCCACCCACCCACCTGCCATGCAATCTTGTCGAGGGACAGGGTGAGCAGCAGTGTCCTGGCGCCCAGCCTGGCGGACGCCAGTGCTGCCTCGCACCCCTGACTTACCTTGTACCCACCTCAGAACCCTTGAACCCGAAACCCTTGACTTGACCATCTCACCCACCTGCCATGCGATCTTGTCAAGCGACAGCGTGAGCAGCAGTGTCCTGGCTCACAGCCTGGCGGACGCCAGAGCTGCCTCACACCCCCCATGCCCCGCCCGCCACCCCATGCTTCTATTCCACCCACCTGCCATGCGATCTTGTCAAGAGACAGAGTGAGCAGCAGCGTCCTGGCGCCCAGCCTGGCGGATGCCAATGCTGCCTCACACCCCGCATGCCCCGCGCCTATCACTATCACATCGTACTGCTCGCCCTCCTCCACTGCTGAGAATGCTGGGCCGTCTGGGAATGTTGAAAGGGAGGAGAATTGGGGAAGCAGGATGCTCTTTCATGATCCATCCACCCCGCATGCCCCGCGCCTATCACTATCACGTCGTACTGCTCGCCCTCCTCCACCGCTGAGAATGACGGGCCGCCTGGGAATGAAGAGAGGAGAGAAGGGGAGAAGCAGGATACAAGGGGTTGAGCTGAGCTTCGCACCCCCCACCCCACGAGTGCCCCGCCCCTATCACTATCACGTCGTAATGCTCTGATCGCCCCCTCTACCGCTGAGAACGAAGGACTGCCTGGGATTGGAATGAAGAGAGGAGAAAGGGAGAAGCAGGAAGCAAGGGGTTCAGCATAAGTTTGCCCACCACGTGCCCCGCCCCTATCACTATCACGCCGTACTGCTTTCCCTCCTCTACCGCTGAGAACGAAGGATTGCCTGGGATTGGAATGAAGAGAGGAGAGAAGGGGAGGAGCAGGAAGCAAGGGGTTCAGCTGAGCTTTGCCCACCGTGTATTGCCTGGAAATATTGCCTGGAAATATTGCCTGGAAATATTGCCTGGAAATATTGCGTGGAAATGGAATGCGTGCCCCGCCCCTATCACTATCACATTGTACTGCTTGACCCCCTCTGTTACCAAGAATGAAGCACTTCCTGGGAGTGAAATGAAGAGAGGAGAGAAGGGGAGAAGCAGGAAGCAAGGGTTTTAGCTTTGCACCCCACATGCCGCGCCCGGACGCCTCTATCACGTCACACTGCTCTGCTCACCCTCCTCTACCGAGAACGAGAAAAAGTGGGGAAAGGGGAAGCAGGCAGGAACACACGATGTCCTTTCACGTCCTATTCCCATGCCCCGCGGGCCCCCCCCACACCACGTCCACATGCTCCTGCACTTCCTCCTCTCGCCTGCACACCCCCTCCGCACACCCCCCTGCTCCCACCCCCTCCTCCCACACCCCCTGCTTCCCCCTTACCCTGCTGCCTCACGATTGGCGTCCCCCTCCGCTTCATCCCTCGTTACTTCTCTTCACCCCTCCTTGCCCCTGTTATACCCCTCCTGACCTCTCTACGCTCCCTTCCACCCGTTCTCCACCCCCCTCGCCACCCGTACCAGCGATCGCGCGGCACTGCTGCCTCGAAGGATGCCCCAAGCCGCGCAACAACCGTCCGCCAGCTTCCCGCGCGCCAAAGGCTGCGCCCCCCAAAGCCCCGCAGCTCCACGCAAGCGGAACGGAGCTCAGCGCGCGCCGAGCTCGCTGCGCTGATCCCCCAATAGCGCGTGCGGGCGGGAGAGACGGCGCAATTTGCGAGCGTGCTGAGCGGGCAAGCGACGACGCGAGAACCTGGCGCGTGATCGTTTGCGGGGAGAGCGGAGGGTGTGTGCGAAAGTATACGCCGTTACTAATTGCGCAATCGACTGGCGACGGCAACGTGCGACCGTGCGACGGGCCGCGTCGCCGACCCGACCATCGCGGCAAGCGCGCCAAGCCGTGCCACGTGTCGGTCGCTGGGAAGCGCAAAGCGAACGACGTGGCCATGTCCATGCACGCGTCGCAAGTGCTCGACGCGGAAGCGCACGCGTTGCAGTTGCACGAGGCACGAGACCTGGAGAAAAACTATGTCTTGCCTCGCGGGTCTCGTTCTTACGGAGAAGATACGAGACTGGGGAAGACTGCTAGACACTAGCAGCTCTCACTAAACGCGCGAGATGTTGAAGGTGGGAATGGGTGTTGGCGCAGGGGAATGAATGTGTGTGGCAGTGTGTAGGATAAAGGGTTTTCTAGGGCTTGTTCAGTTTGACGAGCGGGTTTGGTTCGTGCCACTTGAATCGACAGTTTCTGTCCTGGTTTCGTCTCTCGGTCGCTTGTCCAAACAGGCTCCCTTGCAGTTCCATAACAAGTTTCCACTGGAAAACGAAAGTGCTGCCGCGATTGGGCGAGAAGGGTAACTATCTTCGTAACAGGCCCAGTGTCGTTGATACAGACAGAACCGTACCACGCGTCGCCGGGAGGTGGGATTTCCTGTGATGCATTTCTTTCTTCAAATCGGTTTCGGTTCCGGTGTCATTGATTAGGGTTTGAGTTGAGGCTCGGCACTCGTAGAATTTCACTTTGCTAGTAGCGAGGCCCAGGCGCTACTAGCAGCCAGTGCTGCTGCTTCAAAAGTCGCTGCCGCTGTGGCTGCTACGTCGTCCGCGCCTAGTTTGGGAGCATCCATACGGTCAGCCAGGCTGAATGAAGCTTAACTTTTTGCTGCTTCTACTCCTACCAGCGCAACTATGACTGAAATGAGCACTTATCTTGTACAGATTGGCCCCGCTACTAGCGAGGTTTAGGAGCCATTTTGTACAAGAATAATAGAAACTAGCTCAGCTGAATGTGCACCTACGCCGTGTAAATACCCCTTCAAGCGTAATCTCTCCTGCTGGTTCACGCAGCGCAAAGTACCCTAAGTGTCTCGATACGATTTCTTAGGCGCCTCGGAATTCCTCTTTCCGTGTAAGCACTTCCACTCTCATACAGACATGGACACCCTTGGCGGTCCAAGCGTTGCACATCATTCTGACGGTCTCACTACTCCTGTCAGTATAGTGATTGTTGGCGCTGAGGATGCTTCTGGTGCTTGTGCCCTTGAGGGTGCTAGAGCTGGGGGTGCTGCTGGCGCTGGTGCTGTCCCTTCTGGTGCTGGTGCTTCTGAGGGTGCTGGCGTTGGTGCTGCTGGAGCTAGTGCTGCCGTACGTGGTGCTGGCGCTGTTCCTGCTGGTTCTGGGGGTGCTGCACGGCCGCGGCCGTACTTCGTTCCGCTCCTTGAGCAGGTTCTTGGTCTTCCGCCCTCCACTAGTCCGGCTCCTCCCTTAGAGTGTCCACCGCCTGTCCGGTCTGAGTCACAGTTACAGCCTACCTCTCCTCTGCCTGCTCCTTCTCCCTACACTGGTCCTACTGGAGGTCTTGTTGAGCCTCGTGAGCCTGCGTCTCGCCCTGTGTCGCCTTTCTGTGCTGCTCAAACTGGTGGTTGTGGTTCGCGCCAGCGTCCTCCCCCCGTCCCCGGTACGCACCGGATGTCTCTGCGTCCGTCCACTGCTCCTCTGCGTGCCCCTTTGCCTTCTCTGCCTAAGTCCTCTCTTCTTGCTCTTGTTGACCCGGAGTCAGACTCCCTTCGTGCTGCCAGTCCTACTGTCACGCGTCTCCTTGCTACTGTTGTCACTGACCCTTCCTTTGAGTCCATTGCGGCGACTCCCCTAGTTGCTCAGCTTGTCGACTTCGCTGCTCGCTGTCGTCTAGACTACGCTGCTAGTCTGGTTACTGAGTCTGTGTCTGTCTGTCCTCCGTCCGTTGGGGGTGAGTGTGCTCTTGGCACGGACGTCCTTGAGGACTGACAGCAGGACCTCCAGTGTCTTGCGGCTGCTTCACCTCATCTCGTGTCCACGCTGATTGCCCCTGAGGGAGACCCCGATGCACCAGACATCCCGACTCCTCGATCGTACGCTCAGGCGATCAAGGGTCCCTACTCCTCACAGTGGCAGTCAGCCATGGACGCAGAGATGGCTTCCTCGAAGTCCACAGGCACCTACGTTGACGAGGTTCCCCCGCCTCGGGCGAACATCGTCAGTGGCATGTGGATTTTCAGGGTGAAGCGGCCGCCGGGTTCTCCGCCTGTCTTCAAGGCGCGTTACGTGGCTCGTGGCTTCAGTCAGCGGCACGGAGTTGACTACTTTCAGACCTTCTCTCCCACCCCGAAGATGACCACTCTTCGGGTACTGCTGCACATAGCCGTTCACCGTGACTACGAGCTTCACTCTCTTGACTTCAGCACTGCTTTCTTGGAGGGCAGCCTGCACGAGGAGATCTGGCTGCGCCGCCCACCTGGCTTCACTTGGACTTTTCCTCCTGGCACCCAGTGGAGCCTCCGACGGCCAGTCTACGGTCTCCGCCAGGCACCTCGTGAGTGGCACGACACACTGAGGACTACACTTGCGGCTCTTGGGTTTGCTCCTTCTACTGCCGACCCGTCGCTGTTTCTGCGCATTGACACCTCTTTGTCGCCGTTCTACATCCTCGTGTACGTCGACAATTTGGTCTTTGCCACAGCTGACACTGCTGGACTCGCCTACGTGAAGTCCGAGCTGCAGAAGAGACACACGTGCACAGACCTGGGTGAACTGCGCAGCTACGTTGGCTTGCAGATCACCCGGGACAGAGCACAGTGCACCATTAACCTGACTCAGTCACACATGGTGCAGCAGGTCCTTCAGCGCTTCGGCTTCACGTACTCCTCGCCTCTGGCCACTCCTCTGTCTACTCGCCACTCGCTCTCAGCTCTGCCTTCGGATGAGTCCGTAGAGTCGAGTGGCCCGTACCCAGAGCTTTTTGGCTGCCTCATGTGCCTGATGACCTGCACTCGACCTGACCTTGCATACCCTCTTAGCATTCTGGCACGCTATGTTGCTCCTAGGAGACACAGACCAGAGCACATGGCTGCAGCAAAGAGGGTGTTGCGCTACTTGTGCAGTACGTCAGGCATGGGGCTAGTGCTTGGAGGGCGGAGTCCAGTGGTCCTCACTGGTCACGCAGACGCTTCTTGGGCTGACGACCAGGCTACACAGCGGTCGTCACAGGGGTACACCTTCAGCCTTGGTTCCGGCTCTGTTTCGTGGCGGGCTACCCGCTCGTCTTCTGTTCTCGGCTCCAGTTGTGAGGCTGAGACCTACGCAAGGGCCATGGCTGCACAGGAGCTACGCTGGCTCACCTACCTGCTGACTGACCTGGGAGAGCCGCCCCGTTCTCCTCCAGTTCTGTACGTAGACAACAATGCCATGCTGGCCTTGTGTCGGGAGCACAGACTGGAGCACAGAATGAAGCACATCGCTCTTCGCTACTTTCTTGCTCGTGAGCTGCAGCAGCGCGGTCAGCTGCGCCTTGCTTACGTGGCCTGTGAGGCCAACACTGCTGATATCTTCACCAAGGCACTCGCGCCTTGTGATCATCAGCGCTTCTGTACTCTGTTAGGTCTTGTGCCTACCTTGCCTCACTTGCTCACTTCTTGACCTTGCTTGTACTATTTCATATATATATATATACCTGCTCTTGCTTGTTTAGCGTTATATATATGTAATCATGCATGTGAACTGGCCTTGTGGCCTTGACTTGTGCTCAGAATGTGTAGTGACGTTATGATCCACCTTGAGCTTGCTTTGCCTTGCTTTGCTTGACTGGTCTTGTGACCCCTTGTTCTCCCCCACTTTACCTATGGGGGTGTGTCAAACTTATATGATCTAGCCTGTGTAGGCTGTAGCGGGTTAGACACTAAGGGGTACACAGTTTTAGGGTTTCATATTTGTATCACTTTCATTCCTTAGTCATTCATTCTCGTTCTAATCTCCACATGAAGGAGGTCTTGGAGCAGTACAAGGATGTAATGCCCGATGACCTACCCGCAGGTATACCTCCAGCACGCACCCACGAGCACGAGATCGTGGAGGAACCAGGTGCGAAACCTGTCTCACGTGCACCATACCGACTAAGTCTGACCGAACTGGCAGACATGAAGAAACAGATAGAATATCTACTGGACAGACAACTGATCCGCCCATCCACCTCTCCCTACGGTGCACCAGACCTCTTCACTCCAAAACCAAATGGCAGTCTAAGGATGTGCATCGACTACCGCGCACTGAATAAACAGACAGTCAAAAACAAATATCCCATACTGCGCATAGATGACCTAC